GAGTGTATCAATCATAAAGACGTCGTTTTACGTTTAATATTATCTTTTTACGATAAAAAGATTACAATAAAAATGTACAATGAAAAATATTTGATTATAATATTCTTTTATGTCGCGCCACATCATGCATTATTCGATTGCGGTTCTTGATTTTTTATTTTTATGAGTTTTAATTTTGTTTTTTTTTTTAACATTGCGCGCGTCGATTAATAAAATCTATAGAAATAAAGAAAACGATATATTGCTCAACACGAATTCAATTTACACAGAACTATCTTCTGAAAGTATACTGTCAACATTGATAGCGCATACTCTTTCTAAGAAGAGTGCATCATCATAAACTCGCGCGTCAATATATTTTTCTGGGACGCACTTACGAACAGGTGCTTGCAGCCTGCAATTTCGCTAACGTTGCTGCTAACGTTGCGCGCATATGCGGGCGATAAGATATGCAAAGATGAATTTTCACGTGGCTCAGCGTTTTGCGGCCGGAGATCTTTAGAACAATTTCACGTGCACGCGAGCGGTGATCTCGCGGCACAATGCGTTAGCGCCGCGGCCGTTCATCCGGCTATTTCTCCGATTCGCGATCAACGGCGGAATTATTGGTCGCCATTCAGAATCGTTTCATTAAGCGTGTTTTCTGACGCTGCGCGATCTATTCGCATGCCATTCTCATTGCATTCCATCCATGAATACCGGCATTCAACGGAAAGTTGCTAGAATTCTGATGGTGTATAGCTTTACTTCCGCCCACGATGTTGGGCGCGTTTACGTCACTTTTTGTTCCTCTGCGTGTTCGGAACAAAAACGAGCGCACATTTGGTAACTCGTTACGGACTACGATCTACGGACCCTCGCTTCTTTTTTTTTCTTTCTGAACCGTTTTTCAAACACTTAGTGTGGAGGTCTTAAGAGGTCTTAAGATCTTCGTCCGAGCGTGAATAATGCGCGACTGAAATACATTACGTATAGTCTATATATAATTTATGAGAAATAATAATTTTTAGTTATCGCGCAATTTGTGTAATTTTACAGTGCGTATGCAAAATTTATTCTGCTATGATTGAGTCGCAATGAATTGACAATAAATTATAAAAGTAATTTGTGCTTTAAGAATAAATGCCTGTCGTTATTCTTATTAAATGTTATAACTTTTTAATTAACATTTAATTAATTAACATTTTTATAAAGATCCTACGTATTATTTAACGAAGCGCTTTATTTATTATATGTATATTGCATTTGCTTCTCGCTGCTGTCGGAACTAAATTGATAAATCCGTGAAACGTCAACGTTCTCACGTGACCGACGCGGCGAATGGCACCGTTAAGTCTCTGGAAATGAAAAACATTGTAGAATTACGAACAGAAGAGGATTCTATAGACGCATAATACTCTTCGCAAAGTCCAGGCGACTGTGATTCTCTTTTCAATCGACGCGGACAATGTACCTGTGCGAAGCTCAACGAGACGAGAAGGAAGTGAAACGTACATTGATACTTGTAAGCGCTGCGGCTAGATATTTTCTTATTTCATAATCCAGTAACTCGTCATCTCGGCACGTTTGTTCGATTATTTGGAGATCTCTTCTCCTTTGATACGATTTGGCGTAAGCAATGTTGCATCAAAATGTGACAGTTTCATTCAAATGCAAATTGTGCGTGCATTTCAGTTATCGTTGACCACTTTGAAGAAATATATATTGCAATAGTAGCGCATGTAGTCGTACGATATTAATGAATAAATAATTATTATTCAATACCTTTCGGCTCTGTGTTCATTAAAATATATTTATTAATATGTGTTTGCTAAAATTCTTTTTCATGCTTTGAAGTGAGAAATCACCTTCTGAATTGATCCTTATGTTCGGAATATTCTGTATTATCTTTATTTATGGAGGGGGGAATACATGGAAATATTTATTTAATACAATGATTTATGATGATTCTCGGGAATGTCGATGATTTTAACACAATCTATACAGCGCCATGTGTTATATATTACGATAAAAAGCGCGATGTGTATTGATGCGTATGTTGATAAGTCGACTTTTCAGCGAAATAAATTCTCTCGGATTTTTCACGCGAGCGATAACTAATAATTTTTCATGGAATTCGTAGGATTTCGAAGAATCACAAGAAATCGCTGCTTTGTGTACGAGATTTTATCATCATGCGGAAAATTGATTTGCTCATAATCTATATTTTTTATCGGTGCAACGTTACATTTCTTATCAATCGAGCAATATTTTTTGATATTTTGCGTATCGCTATCATCACATAGTTATATTTGATGTCGCATAACCAGTTGACTTAACCTACTGTTCTAATTCAGGCACGGCTATCTTGCCATTTTCCTGTGTATATCATTTCTTTTTCAAAGATAATTATGACTTTCCACGACATGTCGGATATTGTTCTTTGTTTTCCTTTTAACGCGATACGCTAACAGCATATGAAAAAGAATAAATGTTTTAATGTCGGAAAGTTAATAATTTTTTGCTTATATACATATAATTTCGAGAATATAAATATATAAGAATATTTTACATTTTAGTCGCAGAAAAATTTCTGCAGAAATTTTGTAATTTAATTAGCTGATTATTTGAGAATATTTGAATATTTAAATTATTCAAGAATAATTAAAAAAGAAGGAAAATCGACAAAATAAGTTGATAAATTCTAAACTGAAGAATACTTTGCACAGATTTATTTACTTGAATATAAATTTCCTAGATATTTTAGGTGTCATACAATTGAAAAATAACTTTGCAATAAGAATGCAATAATTAGAAAAAGTTAAATACTTTCTCCGTGTACATTTATATTTTTTTGTTTATTTAATTAAATAATTTTATATTGTGTAAGTATTTGCTGCAAAGTTAGAATGAAACATACATGTACATACAAGCAATGCGTTCTTGCGCACGTAACATCTTATCAACTGTCTTATCAAAATACGCTATCGCGGTATGTCGTGTTACTTTTTTCCTTTTGTCACACAAGTGCTTCAAATTGTGAATTGAAAATTATATGAAGAATGCAGAAGCTTCTTTTCTCTTGCTCTGCGCTACTATTTAAATTATATAATGTTTATCAGATATGAGCAATTAGACGCGTATCTTTATTCACGTTTCGCAATATTCGTTTATCTTGAAGTAGATTACACTTAATGGGTTTTCCATTCTGTGATAGGAACCATCGGGCGGTGTTCAAAATTAATGGCACATACTTTCAGACAACATTTACAGCGACGGCGAGCGTGTTAAACCGCTTAATTTCATTGTGGATCGTGTAGGCACTCTACGTGCCTATTATCGTATTATAATATGTGCAGCGCTATTAGAATTATTATTATTCTATCGCTTGTATTTGTTTTTTTTTTCTATCGAATAAATTTTATTTTTTATTATTGACTGTAAAGTACATTTTATTTGTTTAAGATGAAATATATCTTAGCATATTTCACAGAACAAAATGGAAAGTAATGTCCGCGTTTTACTCTATCGGTGTTTAAATCGTTTCTAATGTAAAAACATGACATAAAATAAAGCGTGCTGTCACACGCGCGCTTATAAAATGCTTAATTGACGTCAGTCACGAAGGTATTTTTAGCTTTTCGCTGCTGCAGTAATTTAGAAAAAAAAAACGATATTTCTCGGATTGCTATTGCGTTTATTACATTGTTCTAAAATTATTTGCATTTTTTGTCGCATTGAGCGTTTTCTTTCTTTTCTTCGCATTATCACTCGCCATTTATTGATATTCCTGCTTCCTGTGACGCTAAGAAGGGGTTGCGATGGTATTTACGATAAGGCCAAGTTCTTAGGGTTTACGTGGGCGCTGCAGAGTGGTGGGCGTTGCGCACAGGGTTTATTTTAAACTCATGTCATCACGCGTTATTCGGTACACCATGAGTCAATATCGATTTCCGCCTTGATCGTTCTTTAGAAGGGATAACGAATAAAAGAAGACAAAGAGAGAATAGAATGGCGAGGGTGTGCCGATGTATTTGAATATATTATCATTAATTTCATACTCGATTATATAATTGACGTAACGCCGATCGATCATAGATAATAAATGTTTGCCACTTAAGTCTGAATTTGTATTGAATTATATATGTATACAAATGCGTGGCCCATGAAAATACGTAAAAATTATTACATATAAACGACCTGTATAATTGAAGCGATAAACCTGTAATTTAAGCGGCACGCTAGTTAGCTTACAAAAGCATCAATTACGATTTTACGTCGTTGAAATGAAATCAATACTAATAACACCACTTATCGCATGACGCATTGCGAGTTCCCAAATTTTAATTGCGAATTCAATTGGTTGCTGAAATTTTGAGCTGATAGGACAACTTGTTGAAATTATTATCGTTCCGTATTCCTTCATACACGTGTGCGCGCGAGAGCGCGCAACGGAAGCGCTCTTACCGGAAGTGAAATGTGCTGAATATTAATCGCTGTGTTTTATTAATAAGATATGTCGGTCAAGGGCCTTAACGGAGATGCGGCATCGTTACGACGTCATGATTCATCGACGTCCTAGTATTTCTGACAGAAACGCTGATCGTGCGGCACTATGCGTACGCGCCGATTTGCTTTCATTTGCATTAAATGATGTGTGTGTTTTCTCTCGCCAAGTTCTCTCTTTTGCTAACACGCGTATCTCATGGGCATCGTTGCACAGATTCTACCTGCGCCTCCGAGGAATAGAAAGTATTATTTAAAAATGAAGAAGACTCGGCGTATAATTCATTACGATGATAACAATTTTTGAAACATTGTATCTATTTTTTGCGAAGCGTGTGTAAGATGACCCAAAATTTTATTTATGTAAATTTTTACATTTAAGAGTAAAATGAAGGAACTCTAATAATTAGATTTCTAGTAACAGCGAGAGTATAATTGGGGTGCGATATATATAGAATAGCACGCGCAGACATTAATTTCCACAGTTTTGTCAGAAAGGTTCTTTATCTTTGCAGAGAGGAAGTGCAGGAACACACAGTGAGGTGGAACGCAAAGTTCGAGTTTTTATGCAAGATGAGCGCCAATGCATCCACGGGCGTGCTCGATCCATGCATTTTAAGGATATCTGTGAGAAAGGTGAGAGCAAACTTACTTTCTGCTTGAGCTGAATAGATGAGCGACTCGAGTTGTAAGTGCGCCGGGAGACTTCTCGCAACTTTGTTTTCACAAACGTTTTACTTTTTATTCACTCTCTCGCATGCGCAAATACAGAAAAAGAATCAATAATTATTAAAATAATAATCTGTCATCTGTGCAATGTTAGTTGTAACATAATTATTCCTTGTTTTGTTTTACGTCAATTATTTGAATAATTATTCCACTATTAATTATTTATATCAAATATTTAATAATTCCATTGCTTGTGCGATTACAGATAAATAAATGGAAACAATCGCACAGATAATTAAATTACAAATATTTAAAAGTAAAATTATTTAAATTATACATTTTTGTTTATTCGAGTAAATATGAATGTGAGAGAGAAATATTTGATTTAAAATATTAAAATTTAAAATGTTTGACTGTTTATATTTGTTTTTATGGATGGGTACTCTTGATTTTAAATGTCATTTGCTTATAAATTTGTATTTACCTACAGGAATTGAAAGGAGGCAGGTCCTTCCAGAAATTGGGCTTCACTGATCTGAATCTAGCCGAATTCGCAGGAGCTGGCCTCTGTCGAAGAAGATGCCTCCTGGAAGGCTACGACGCGCGACATCGTCAGGATAACTCCATGCTGCGTGTAGCCATAAAAATGAACATGCTCTCCGGAGATATTCTGTTTAAAGTGTAAGATGCTGATTATATATCTGCCGCAGTGGATAGAACTCAGTTAAAATTTTTTGACTTAAATTATAAAACTCTCTATTGAATATACATATACTGAAAGATAAATATCAATATTGATCTGAGTGCTGAATTCAATATTTAACAAAAATATTGACGAAACAACTTGTTATGTATCTCCTGTCATTTGTCTTTCTTTCTGTACTACGCAAATTGCACATTTCTATGCTTTCAATATTTTTGTTATGTGATTGCTTTTTTGCCGTGCGATTGAAAAAATTTTCTTTTGTGCTACGAAATCTTTTCGACTGACATATCGATTATTGTCCCAGCCCTTCGCCATCATTGAAGCAAACGCAGTTGGCAGTGCCCGGAGTTCAAGGTGTACCTGGTGTTACTGGCGATGAAGTGACGGCTTCCGAGAGATGCACTAATCGGGAGGATTATGTGTCCACGGGTTCGTTGGCGGGAAGTATAGCTAGCGCCAGCAGTGGCTTCGGCAGTCTTCCTAAAAAGAGGCCCGCACTTTTTACCTCCGGTAACCAAGTGTTTTATATTATGATTAATATGAAAAGTAATATAAGCATAAATTAGAAAAAAACTTTGAAGAATAAGTAAAAAAATTTTATCATATACAATCTAGAACTTCTCAGCGGAACGGAAACGTACGACCCGATGACCCTCAGTGAAATTGTACCCTCAACAGTTCCGGTGGAAGCTCTAGTAGAAGCGCACACGGAGTCGGGTCACTCGCGCAATAGTAGCAACACCAGTCAACTTAGTAAAGGGTCTGGCTACGGTTCCTTGAATTCACACAGTCAGCACAGCAGGCAGAGTAGTAGTGGTGACAGTGGTCACATTAGGTAAGACTTGTGCACATCTTGAATACGCAATATATTGGTTTCGAAGGGTTTCGAAATCCTTTGGTTATCCGGTGCATAAAAAAAGCGATTTAAAAGATGGTATATATATATCTGAAGAAAGATCCTTATTCAAGTGTTGAGCATAATCAACAAAGGTGTTTTTAACTTTTCACCAACAAAGATGATCTAAACTCTTCATATTGTATCGTATCGTTTTTCTCATTCCAATTAAAACACAACATTGCAATTTTAATCGACAATTAGAACCGCCAAGGGTTTGAAAATAGCTATCGATATTCCACACTTTTCTTCTAATTTATTCATAAATTGTCCGATTTTACTATTCGTACAGCAGCGAGCGCGAAAATAAGATTCTAAAGTATTGCACGAAAGACACAACGTTTAATGATTGCAATGACTATACAACAAACGATATATTCATTCATAATTTTACTATAACCAAATTACCATAACTAGAGATTTTGTTTCAAAGATAACGCTGGCTTTATCTGATATTTTAACTATAATTATTATTACGCTATATTTTGCTTTTAACATTACAGATTGCCTTTATCTTGACTCGAGAAAAATATTATCTTCGACGCTTAGATATCAATATCCAATGTAATCGATGAAACTTGCTTGCTGGCAAACCCATGCATATTTTTGAATAACAAACTGTTTCACGCTGACAATGAGATTAACAATAATATCGAGTTGTAGGCGATGTGATATAAATGGCCTGACAAATCACTAACAAGAGAGCGAATCAATAACGCGAGAAAAAAATCGTCTGTTTTTTATTCCAGCCTCAAGCGATCTCTTCATTCCCAGTCTCTCGATCGTAACTGCGAGACTCTGGACTCTCTGTCTTTTTTTTATCTTATGTATGTCTCCCCTCTCTTTATCTATCTTTATGTACATGAGTTTATGATTTTTGCATGCCTGTACATTTGTGTTGTGATCTTTATAGGTCACCCTCTTGGCCGGTATGGGCACCGCGAATTCCCAACACCTCCCAGAATCTGTCCGCACAACCGATCGTCTGTCGACTCGACACCAATGTCGAACCTTCGCACCCGTCTTCCTTGTCGCACATGGCTTCCAGAACGCGGTTCTGGTCGACCTCGAGCCCTCTCTCCTCGCGTAGCGCTCCGGTAGACGCGAAAGACGCGACGGCGACCGGCGCCATCGCGTCTGCCGCGAAGAACGTTTATCCAGTCGGAAAACAGCAGCCGCTTCGCGCGATTGGGAACGGTTTTTTGAACGACAACAATTTGCGACTGAACGATCGCCGCGACGACGAGAAGACGGACGCTTTGATGGCGCCCGGTGTCTTCAGAGTGCCCGACGTGCCGCGACACGCGCGCAAGAATTACGACGGGAACAGCTTCGAGGCGCGTAACGAGCGTAACGCGACGATGAGCTCGATCGGCAACGAGAGTAACGGACAGCAGGGCGGTATCTTCCCGATCGCGAAACCGAGAATCAGCGCCGCGGGCTGGCGCAGCATGTCGAAGACCTGCGATTGCATCGAGAAGGGCAAAACGAGTCCGGTGTTGCGATTAGTCGATCAGGCCAGAGCCGTGTCCTCTCCCGATCCTCTCCACAGGCCCGACAATCAAAGAGCCCCGCTACGTCCCACAACGACAGCTCAGGTCCGCAGGTAGGTTTTATTTATTAGCGCGTTTTTCAGTTCCGCAGTTTTTTTATGAGAATCTCTCTCTCTCTCTCTCCTGTTTCTTTACTCTTCTCCGGTTTCCTTAACGTCTCTGTCTATTCACGAATCTTTTATTTTATGATCCTCGAGACGATTTCACGCGTCGCAGTATCCGACTTTATCTTGAGCTATTAATGTATCTTCCCTTGTCGCGAGGACACGTATTGGCGGGAGATATTCAGAAAGGAGATATTTCCATAAACATTTACGACAGTGCACTTGATTAGCAGAAGGCGCGTTACATTGTATTCTTGCATCAGATCGTCGTTATTCGAAGGTGAAGTTATTTTACCGTACAAATCGTTAACGACGATTGTATATCTGGCATGCCACTGCTAATTCCATCCTAACGAGCCAGCAGATGTTTGAATGAGATGTTCTTCCGGCGTTTCTCTTTTTTTGTGCAACATTTTCTACCTTATGATGTACCTTACAAGTACATTCTGGTCGAGTTACATTCATTAATCCTGCTTTATCAGTCACTCAGTTTGTTATTTTATCTGTGCATTTATTTTTTTGGTGCTCTTTATTTTGGTTTTGATTTTATTTAATCTTATCTGAAGAGTAGAGCAGTGCTTGAGACGAAATAAATAGCCCAATAAGAAAAATTTGCAAATTACGCGCTCGTTAAATGCTCGCTTACGTGTGATTGATTCGCTTAATCTACTGCAAGAATTTAACGATACATACAACAGTTATATACAATCAGTTTGACTTATGGCATGGTTATGGACATTATGTGTTTTGCCTTAAAAATCAACAAAACTTATATGAGATTGTAAAATATCAGACTAAACATACGAAATCCTTAATGAAAAATTTTGACGAATTTTCAGGCGAAATTAAGTTCGATGTTTCGTTATTGCTTAATTATTCTTTCCATCTTATTTTTGTTATACGAATGAAGCGACTCATATTTCATTAATCATGAAAATTATGCTCAACTGTTTATCATTTCTGTGCCTTTGGTGTGAGCTATTTAAATATATGCCACGTTCTAGTGACAGTTCCCCCGGAAAGGGAAATTGTTTAGTATTGCAATAATTATATGCTAGGAATTGTATGTTTAGCGTATAGACAACATTAAAACATATGTGTGTTGTTAAAAGTTTTGTTATTATCTGTCTTGTGCAATTAGTCTTTTCAACTGCTGATAAAAATAAACATTAAAAAACACCAAAATATAGAATTGAAAATATATTTCAATAAATAAACATATAAAATGTAACATAATTAGGTTTAGAGGCGATTTTGTTATTATAATTGCCTAAATTCCAAGCTCCAATATTCTAATTAAAGATTAATTGTCTATACGCGTAAATAGAGAAGTGCGAAGTAGGAAAAGTGGCGTACGCGGCAGCTATGCTTCCAGTTTGGATGGCTTTGTGAATCCTTGCAGGGGTATTGGCGGAGGCCACCGGAAGTTGCTGGACGGGGCGGGGGGCAAGCTGGCTACGGTCGCTACCAGTCCAGCGGATTCCGAGGAGTCCTCGTTAGGGGTACCGGAAATCGCTCCACCGAGCTCGCAGCATCGAAACAGCATTACCCCACCGTCAGTCCATGCTTTCGTCTCTTATGTATACCCTTCCTTCATGTGTATATTTCTCGCTCTTCACTATCGCACAAGTATAATAACTTCCATTCTCACTATATGAAAAATGCTTAACACGTGTCTTGACGTGTATACATTGTTTAACCCTTTGCACTTTGTAATATATTTAACATTTTATTCTAACTCGATAATAGTATGAAAAAATTTCATATTTCGATTTAAAAAAATAGAAAAACGTTTTATATATTGACTATGCTCACATATCGAACGTGGAGAATTCGACATCCGAGCTGTTAGAACGAAACGTTATGTCAAACATAATTTGACTTTTAAATTATTAATTCTAAGCACATAATGATTGATGTGTAAAAAATAATTTCCACCATTTTATCAAGATTGTATAGCTTTGCTTAGGAATTTGTCGTATTGACTCTTTCTAGCAATGATCAACACATTTATTCGACTTAAATATCAAAGTTACTTTATACGTCAAATATTTTGATATGAGAAAAGCAGATTTTGTTGTTTTAATCGCGGGATAGAATGAAAGTGTAACGAAGTGGGCCTTGAACTGGTCAGTCAGAATTTCCGAGAACGAATAAACTTTAATGAGGCTTAAGTGTTCGTCACGCTTACTTTACTTACTGCGGGTGAGCTATGCGCAAAATTTTATTTTACCACGCTATCGCGCTTGGATCGCACAAGACAGTTTTACGTTTTGCGCGGACAATACTCGTCATCATTTGGCGATGAAAACCGATAGTTTTTGTGCATACACAAAATGGTGGTTTTCATTAAAATTTGCCTACGCTTTCGAAAAGTTGATCCGCCCAAGCAAGAGCGATTCGGCAGGAACGCTAGGAACATCCCGCAGCACTCTGTGAACTTTTTGCTTTCCGCACAATTAATTCGAAAGGTTCACGCCTACATGGCTTATCGTGTGTGAAACACGCTTATCGCGCACTAAACGCACAATGGTCGCATGTAAAATGCACAATTTTATGAAATTATAAATATTCACTCGACGATACTTTCATGCACTACATACACTTGTCATGTTCTGTTAAGCTATCGCGCAAAAATGATGCAATATCGTGCAATTATTTGAATATGTTTTACGCTTGTGTAGATTGTTTTGTATTTTTGCACTAAATTTTCGCAATAGAATTTTTAATTAATTTAGAATTCAGTCTTCTTTAATAATATAATTTTTTGCTTACAATTAAGATTAAAAACAGTTTTTCCGCATGCCAAAATATTATTTTTTAATTTTAAGTAAATTTTCTATTCTTTTCTATCTTTAATTATGAAAATATTTAATATTAAAGAAAATTATTGTATTAATCTTATCTTATTTGTTTTAATTGCATCAAACTAGTATTAATAATAATTCTTTCTTTTTTTGCTTTCTCTGCAATCTCTCTCTTGCTTAATTTGCTTTTTTCTTTCAATTTCTTTTAAGCGTATATTTAATCGTCTCAACGGTCATCAGTGCAAGTCGTTTCCCTTATATATAAATTAATTATCAATTCCAACTTAACAAAGACGCATTTATTTCTTTGTGCGTTTATCGGATAGTCACGTTGCACCGCGGTATTTGCTCTTATCAAATGAGTGCGTTGTACATTTACTTAATGAACATTTATTTCACAAAATCAATTGGATGCATTGGCGTAGAATTTATTATTCGAAACAACTTAATTTTAGTAGAGCCCTAGACTATGTAATTATTTGTCAATTATGTATTTGTATACTTTATATTTTATGTTGTGTTATATTAAATGCAATTGTATTATAATACTATTCTGAAGAAATTCAGCACAATATCTTTCGAAATTCAAAAGAAACGTATTAATATCTTCTAACGGAAGATGTACACTTTGTACTTGTACATGTACTTTTCTTCGTTGATTTTTCACAATCTACATTGTAAATGCTAGCATAAGTGGGAGAGTAAAATTAATTCTTATAATTTCTATAACAAATCCTACATCTACGTCGTTAATAGCACGTCGAACTTTTCCGATTTTATCGAATAGTAGTGTTGGTACTTGATTTCTGCTTTCTACGCCATTGCTTGGTTTAATGTGAAAGAAAATGTCGCGAAACGTGATGAAAATGAAGATAATTTATACATTATCCGCAGAAATCCTTCCGGCGGTTCGGGTCTCAGTGAAACTGGATCTCTGGACCGTGCTAAAGCCGCGTTGGAGCGCAGGAAAAAAGCAGAAGACGGTACCGGTAATTCTATCCTCTGCAGAGTTGAAGTCACCAGGCCGAATCCTGATTCTCTTATCGACGAGCTACTTAAGGCAACGAATTTGGAGCAGACGGATCTTGAAAGTTCCGAGAGTATGTTCTTTGTTGTTGTTTTGTTTCTTCTAATTCAGTACGTAGATGAAAAAATAATAGTTGTAGAAAATAAAACAGAGATTTCTCGCATTTTATTTATCCGTTCCAATAGATGCATAATTAAATAAACGTTTTGCAGCAACTGGTCTTCAACTCTTTATCGCGAAAGACGGTACGACCGCGCTTGGCAGTCACGAGGTAAAGAGCCAAATGCCCGCCGGAGTATTCAAGCAGGTGGTGATGGAGGAGAATAACAGGTAACACGAAGCCATCACTACGAGACGGCAGTACTCAAGACAGACTAGCGCCGCATTCTCGTTGGCCCTGGTGCCAGAGCTCGTCTACGAGGCATACG